CCTGAGGGTGCACAGCCCGTTAGTGGAGACGCTGGGATTAGAACCCTCGGCATTTCTCCCTCCCCACCTGTTATCATAGCCTTAGGCACACTCGTGTCTTTCTAGGCCAACACTGTCTAGTAACATACAATGAGAGCCATAGACGAAATTTTACATTTTCTAGTAGCAGTATTAAAAAGTAATAAGAAACAGATGAAATTCAGTGGAATAATAGATTTTGTTTAACCCAGTATATTCAAAACATTATCATTTCAATATGGAGTTAATATAAAAATTATTAATGGGAATATTGTGCTCCTGCATTCATACCATGTCTCTGGAATCAATGGTGTATCTCATGCTTCCGGAACATCTCAGCTGGGACCAGCCTCATTTCAAGTGCTGAGTGGCCTCCTGCCGCACGTGGCTACTGACTGGCCCATGCTGGTCTAGATTACAGCAACACCCCTGCCTCACAGGTGTGTGCAAGTGGGCACATGCTCGGTGTGAACCCTTGCCATCATCCATATCACAGGGATGCAGGACCCACCACAGTGTCCTTGAATGGGGGGACAGCTGGGCTGAAGCCCTGCTTTGAAACCCCCACAGTGACCCTGCCTGGCTCGCTTTGTTTCCTGGCTGTGGTTGGCACCCTTCTCAGCCCCTCCCAGGAACCCACCTGCTTTGCCATCCTTGCTGCCATATCAGAGCCCACCTCCCTTGGAGTTTGCCTCCCTGCTGCCCAGAGGATGGCTGAGGTTCCTGGGGAGATCCCTGGGTTGCTGTTTATACAAAGCCAAGGGCAGCCTCCTGGCATGTAGGTGCTTTGCTGGCACAGGGTAGGAGCCTTTTCTAAAACCTTGGGGTGGCATTGGCGGGGGGCTTGCTGTGGAGCCAGGAGTGCTGCCCAGCCCACAAGGTAGCATTTTGTCTCTCAAGGAGCTGGTTGGGCGGAGGCCTGTTCCTGTGCCCATTCCTTCTCCAAATGCCATGCTGAGGGGGAAATGCCTTTCAGTGCCGTGCTCTTGCCAGCATCCAAGATAAAATGTGGGCTGGAGGGGCCCTGAGCTGGCAGCAGGGGGTTCAGGGAGCCCAAGGAAGCTCTGGGTGGGGAGTTGGGGGGGTGGGGCCTGGGTGGGTTTGAAATCTTCACTCAGATTCCAACTCTAAACAGGAGGTGTGAAAAGCCATATTGTTCACATTCTCTGTTTTCTAAAGGGGATATTTTGCCATATACTTGACCTACATTATTCTGCAGTTGCTGCTGGAAGCAGAGAATGAGTTTGTGTCTCACACCCAAACACAAGGTTCTCACACACACACCACACCACACCACACACACACAAGCACACCACATACACACTCAATACACACACACCACAAACGTGCACACACCACACACAAAAACCACACACACCACACACACACAAGCACACCACATATACACTCAACACACACACCACACACTCACACACACCACACACATACCACATACACACCACACACACACACGTACCACACACACATCACACACAACAAACACCATATACACACACCACACATCCCCCCCACACACCCCAGGCACACACCCCACAAACACACCACACGCACAACACACACACAGCACACCGCCCCCCACACACACCACACATGCCCTTCACACACACCACACACACCACACACACCCCCACACACACCACACACACCACACACACACCACACACACCACACACACACCACACCCCCCACCACACATGCACACACACACCCCACGCACATACCACACACACCCCCATACACACACCACACAAACCCACACACACACCCTCCACACACCACACACACACACCCCACACGCACTCCCCCCACACCATCCCCCCCCACACCACACAGGCACACACATATACACACCACACAGGCACACACACACACACACCACACACGCACCTCCACACACACCCCACACACACCCCACACACACCCCACATACACACCATATGCATACCCCCGCACACCCTCTCTCACACACACAGGGCAGCTGTGCACATCCCACGTGTGTTGATACGGGAGGGAGGATGTGGGTCTCACCTGTAGACCTATACATAGACCACCACCGGCCTAATGCTTGCCCGGGAATTATCATGCAGCATTCGTTTGCTGAATTACACGCTTCTGAGAGGGTTTCCTCAGTCACATTTCCACGTTCAGCAGCAGGGAGCTTGGTGTGATGAGACCGTTAGTGCGATTAACAAATGAGGAAAGTAAGGTCTGAGGTGGCAACAGGACTTACTGAGGCCGACACGGCCAGTGGCAGAGCCTAATTCCAGCCGCTCTACTCTGGCTGACGTTGCCCCTGTCATCTGCCCCGCTAGCCAGTAAGCTCTGTGGGGGCAGGGACAACATGCTCCTGGTTTCTGCACAAGTGCTTGGACCAGGGAGGCAGGAGGCTCCATTACCAAGAGCTGGACCAAGGTTCAAATGTCAGCTCCCTTGATTACCGGCTGTGTGACCTTTGACAAATTAACCTCTCCGAGTCAGTTTTTGCATCTGTGAAGGGGGATAATTGCACTTGTAAATGATATTGTTATGGGAATTGTAGAATGTGCCTAATAAATGTTGGATGAACTGGGGTAGGTCTTATACATGTGTTGGCCCAGTACTTGCTAATGCACATTAAACGGAGTCCCTTTCTCTTAGCACATGGTGGACACACTCAATAAATGCAGAAGAAAAGAATAAAGAACTGAAAACATAAGTCATATCTGCCATACACCTTTAGCACAGATTAAATTCCCAAATACACTCGGCTGTTCCTGAGATCACTCGGGTGCCATCCTCCTCCGCTGATCTCCTCCTGGACTGCCCTCTTCCTCCTTCCACTGCAGAACCTTTCCAGAACGCTTTCATATCTCCCAGAGAAGTTCCCCTCGTAACTCTACTTCCTCAAAGTTTTCTTGGCAATTCTCATATACATTTTCTTCTATATGAACATTTACAACCATTTTTTCCATTAAGATCTGACTGGGACCCTGGTTGGACGTGTGCTCCCCTTGCATATTCATTCGGGAGGGTGGCCATGTATGGAATTTGGCTGTGAAACAAGGCTGGTGTCCGAGTGGAGTCCAGCTCGTTTCTATCAGCCTCACAGCCCACACAGCAGGCAGGGCTTTCGGGATGCCCTGAGAACTCCAGTGCCGTGCACACCTTTGTCCCAGAAGCGTCTAAATCATGAAACAAGCATGGGTCGGGTGGTCTGGGTTCCGCAGGCAGGGGCTGCCTAGAAAAGAGGTACCCTGGGCTGGTCCCAGGAGCCTTCCCTCCATCCTGCTGCCTGGGTCCCTCCACATGCTCCTTTGCTGGTCTCCTCTGGCTGAGTCCTTGGCTCTGTCCCTTACTCCTCCTCAGCACTGGCTGTTCTGGGAGCTGACCGGGGCTCCAGTATTCTTGGACTCATGCTTAAACCTCTCGCCTCCTCTGCCCACTCAGACTTGGGCTTCTCTCAAACTCTTACCTTTTCTCCATCCACTCCCTGCCCTCCCAGACGGGGCAACCTGCAAAGCTGTACCCACATAAAGCCGCAGCCGTACCCAGAGCCGAAATAAAGACCGACTTAGCTCCTTCTGGGCACTCCTGTAGGACATGGGCAGCCTCCCCTAAGTAGGAATGGTTAGAATTTGGCATCAAAAGATCTAAGTTTGGGCCCTGGCCACTTCTTAATGAGGAGATCCTGGGCAAGTCCTTTACTTGCTCTCACTCCATTTCTTTCATTTGTGAAATGGAGCTGATAACTTTCTGGTGAGGTGGTTCTGAACCAACTACAGGCCGGCACCATGCCGGGCATGAGGATTTAACCACAGATGAGACAGACTCACCCCCAGCCGTCATTACACACACGAAGGCATTGCGAGGAATTCCCATTTCCCAGCTCTCAGTTTGCTGTCGGCTCTCGGCCTCAGTTCTGGCTGAAGCAGACACGGAGTCTGGTTCTGGCAAGTGGCTTAACCCCAACACTCGGTTTCCTCATCTGTGAAGGGAGATTCTTAATCCCCAAGGAAGCCGTCAGTGTCAGCTGGGGATAAACACCCTCTTGCCATCACCCCTCTGTCTCTAGGTTGTTCTGCTAGGAGCAGGTCCTGCCCTGGACTGTGGAATCTGGGGCTCAGAAGCTGCCAGGTGCCCACCTCCTGCCCTCCTTGCACTGCCTGCCTCTGCCTTTCCCTCACTATGCCTGGCCCTAGCAGGCTGGCTCTACATGGTCACATGTGTGACTCCCCTGGCTTTTGGAGGTGCAGACCTTTGTCCCTTCCGCTTGGTGTACCCTGGGGTGCAGGTAGAAGAGAGAGAGAGACCCTGGGGTGCCCCACCACCCCCACCCTGGAACAGCAGGCTTCATAGGCAGGAGCCAAGTATGGACACTCTACAGACTGCAGAGGGCTGTGCAGACTGGAGGTGACAGCAGTTGGGGTTCGGCATCACCCTGGGCACTGCTCGCTCAATAAGGAGCTTTTGTTGAAAACTGGCATTTTTCTTTCCATTTTTTTTTTTTCTTTTTCCATCTCCCATCCTCATAGTATCTCCAATGCTTGGAGTCTTGGAGTTTTCAAACTCGGAGACTCTAGAAGTCTCCTGACAACTCCCTCGCTTTACACTGCTCTGGGAGGGTGAGTGACCCACCCAAGGCCACACAGCCAGGTTAGGCAAAGACGGGTCTGGAGCCCGGGCCCCTGACTCCCAGTTCTGCTGAGGGTCCCGTTCTTTCTGCACTGGTTCAGGTGGGGAGAGAGGGCAGGCTGGACCTGTGTAGTTTGTTTCCCCAAGTGTCGCACCATCCTCCTCACCCTGCCAGCTTCAGCCAACCTGAGCAGTTGACTCCTCACCCGAGGCTCTGCCCTTGCCCTGTGGCGACCTTCCTGCCCCAAACCTTCCCAGCCCTTTTCATCCTTCCCACCAACCCCCATACAGCAGGACCCAGTGGGGAAGGGAGCCGGGTGTCCCTCTGAGCCCCTCCAGGCAGGACTCACCGTGGCCAGGACGCTGCTGGCGGCTGCTGCTGTCACTGCTGCCAGCATCCAGGGCAGGAACCACCTCATGCCTGGACGTCAGTGGCACAGGCATCGACCGAGCAGCCCAGAGGATCCGACCACCTCTCGGGGGAGCTGGGCCCAGACTGTCCGGCCCATCAGGAGCAGCAGATATGCCTCTTCCGCAGCCCTTGGGGGGTTTTATTAAAGCAAGATCTGACGTCAGGGTGAAGGACAAACCCTGCATTTTCCTCTGAAAAAACTTTTCCTGCCTCTCTTTTTTTTTTTCTTTCTTCCCTCTGTCCCCACCTCCAGCCTGAAGTTGGCCAGCCTCCCCAGCTCTGACAGTTCTTAAAGGGAAAGTTACAAGGCTATGACTTCACACTAGGGCGTGAAATTCTCACAGAGGAGCTGGGGTCATCCTGCCTAGGTCTTCCACGACCACAGGGAGCGGGAGCGTGGGAGGGCGCAGGATGGCGGCAGAGACGCTGTTACTCCAGGCAGGCGGGTGTGTGGGCTTTGAGGGGCTCCCAGTGGAAAATCAACTCCCTGTCATTTCTTTAGGCTGCTCCTACTTCTGGTTTTCTTTTTTCTTTTCTTTTTTTTTTTTTTTTTTGAGACAGTCT